GAGCAATCCATACTTTGAGAATCTCTGATATTTACAGATGTATCAACGTAACATAATTTCTATGAATATGTTTAAATTTCTCTCTCTCTCTCTCTCTCTCTCTCTCTCTTCTATTACAATTCTCTTACCCTGCAGACTCCGCATCACGGAATAATAAGGAAATCAAATTCAAGCGACCGGTTACGAAAAAAATGGTGCAAGGTGATGGCACTAAAATCACATCTGTCGGATTTTCTAGGGGTTTTCCTATACCGTGTTTCGAGCCCACTTTTAGACCTCGAGGTTGATCTCCTCATTACTCCGTGCTCCGTACATAGCAATACGCGGATAGCTCTTTCCTCGCGGCCGCCATGTCGTAGATGTATTTTCTCCCTCTCTTATCCCCTGGTTTCCCCATTCGCACTATCACCTGTGCAGAGCTTAGAAATAAAAAGACTCAGATGTATAATTAAAGCATTTAATTACTAAAAAAAATGTAAAAGTATAAAACAGGTGCTGGAAATGTGCAGACAGTCGCTTCTAGATGTTGATATCAACAACACTGCTATATATTTCGTCAATCTCGCGAATAGTTTTGTTGAACTTTAAATAAGTATCATTCTAATTCTTATAAAATATAAAGTTTTCGAATATATATACTTATCATGGAATACTGGTCGATCTCAGTGTTATCAATCGTGATTAGCGTTCTCGTCACTTATTATCTGTTCAGAAAGTTTAATTTTTTTAAAAGACATGGTATTATCCATATACCATTTATTCCAATACTAAGTGTCATGGTACTAATTATATTTCGCCGAATGTCATTTGCCAATTTCACCAGAAAAATATACAATCTGAATCGAGACGCAAAATACATTGGATTCTACGCTACAACGAAGCCAGTTCTTATGCTCCGTGATCCAGAATTGATCAAGGATGTTATCGTTAAGAATTTCGATTCGTTTACCAATAATTCCATTTTCGTTGATGCTAATGACTATGTGCTTTCACAAAATCTGTTTGGCCTACAAAACACAAAGTGGCGGCACGTAAAAAAACTACTATCTCCGTTCTTTACGTCCAGTAAGATGAAGACTATGTTTTCTTTGATGTCGAAACATGCTGCGGATTTTGCTGAATTGATGTCAACACTACCAGCTGACAAAAGCGACGTTAATATGAAAGATGTCTTTGATAGATATACGAATGATGTCATTGCCTTATGTATTTACGGAATGAAGATCGATTCTATAAGAGATCCGGCAAATAAGTTCTATGTTAGTGGCAAAGATATAACTCATATATCAGCATTACTCATCATAAAGTACATTTTTATTAGAGCCTTTCCAAAGCTCGGACGAATACTTAATATAAAACTTTTAAATAATCAAAAAATGAAATATTTTGAAAGCAGAATAAAGAACGAGATTGTCATTCGCGATGCTGAACACATTTTACAGTCAGATATGATACAATTAATACTGAATAACAGAGGCAAAGAGGGTCAAATACAATTGGATGTGGACGATATTGTCGCGCAAGCCTACGCTTTCTATTTCGCTGGCTCTGAAACTAGTTCAAGCGTGATGTCTTTTATAACGTACCAAATCGTAGCTAATCCAAGTGTTCAGGTCAAATTGCGACAAGAGATAGATGAGCTCTTGAACGAATCGGACGGAAACGTAACTTACGAGGCTGTTAATAAACTCAAATATTTAGATGCAGTAATAAAGGAAGCTCTCAGACTTTTTTCACCTTCTGTTATGGAAAGAGAGTGTGGAAAAGCTTATAAATTGCCACCTGCATTGCCGGGCGAGAAGTCTTTCACTATAAACAAGGGCATGATTATTTGGATTCCGTTGAATGCGATTCATCATGATGAAAAATATTATGATAATCCTGAAGAATTTCGTCCAGAAAGATTTTTAAATAACAATCATGATCCTCCATTTTATTTTCCATTTGGATTAGGGCCGAGAATGTGCATTGGCAGAAGATTCAGTTTGTTGATGATCAAAGTCGTGCTATTTTATCTACTAGCACGATGTGAACTGAAACAATGCGCCAAAGCTTCGTCAATTAAATTTAGCGAGAAAAATCTGCTAATGATGCCGAAGGACGGATTTTGGTTGAATATTCAACATAGAAATGACAAGTACGATAGAGATTAGAACTCGATAGTGTTCCCAGCAAACGAGAATAGATTGAAATGGATTAAAATGGATTTAGATTTTTAGAAATACAGATTCATGAATGTTAAAATAAATCCTTTTCAATCCTGAATACATTTTTATTCATTTATAGGAATTGCATGAAACAAATGTCTATTCCTTTTCAATCTTTAATGCATTTTTATTTATTTATAGAAACGGCATAGAGTATATTTCTATGCTTTTCAATCTAAAAATAATATTATAGTATTTTGTGTGCATCGTGAATATTGCTCAATTCAAAATTGTGAATAGAAAATGCAGTCCTTCAATCCAATTGAATCTAAAAATATCGGTCATTTCTATGCATCGTAAATACTGTTTAATTCAATTCTGAATAGGAAATACAGTTTTTCAATCCAGTTGACTCTAGTAATAATATCAGCCATTTCTTGAATACTTCTCAATATTCTGAATATGAAATGCAGTTTTTCAATCTAATTGAATAGAAAAAGTTTTCATTTAAAAATAAACCATAAATGCTACTTAAATTATTCAAAATTATAAGTAGGAAATTTTTTGTTTTAATCCAACTATTATAACTTCAAAAAAGTTGTAACGTAAAAATAATTAAGTTATGTTCTTTTGTTTCTCTTTGATTAATAGTAAAATGAATGATCGATGAACACTCGTAAACCAAATCAAACACAGCTCGAATATTACGCTGATGACGGCGCGTGACATCGGCCAAGCAAGATTAGATTATCCGATACTTACCCAATGTTGTGTCATTATAATGTAAATTGTTTATATTTTATTATGTCTGTTAAATAATAATATTTTTCCATTTCCAATCATATTGTTAATAATATTTTTATTATATCTATATAATTTCGTGCACTGGTTTAGCTGGTTGTAATTGAAGATAGAGAATGAAGATGATAGAGAATGAATAACACATTTATCAATTGAAGAAATGGTGTAGCAGGTAACGTAGAAGATTCAGAGGTCTCAGGTTCAAATTCCACTAAAGTGCGTTTTTTAATACCAATTTGAAGTAGTTAATTTCAGATATAATTATTATAAATGTCTTAGGAATAAAATTTGTAACTTTTAAATATAAATGTTTTTTTTTTTAATATTAAAGTAGTGTCAGCTCGGGTCCAATCCATTTCAATCCATTCAATCCATTTTCATGGATTTAAAGTACGCATTAAAAAATTTTAATCCATTCTCGTTTACTGGGTTACTGATTCCTAGAAGTCTAATTTCTCGAGAATATCCTAGAATATAAATTCCTAGAATTTCAACAAGAAGTTATTGTTCAATCAAAAAAATGTTTGTAAGTACGAAGGTTTGAAAAGTTCGTGCAAAGAGAGATGGCATCATGGGTCCGTATTAAGGTTATTTTCAGTTAGTAGTATCTTTTAAAAAAACACATACCAAGTCAAATCGGTCTATTTCTTTGTATTTGACTTTCGTATCGAGGAAGTCGAGTAATTTCTAAAAAATGGATGAAAAAGAATTTCGTGTGTTGATCAAACATTACTTTATGAAAGGCAAATCGCCTCAGAAGGCTAAAGAGAAGCTTGATTGACATTATAGTGAATTTGCACCTTCGATTAGAACAATTTATAAATGATTTTAAACATTTCGCAGTGGCCATATGAGCACAAATGACGCTGAACGTTCTGGATGTCCTGTTGAGGCCATTACTCCAGATATTATTGAAAAAAATTCATGATATAGTGTTGGATGACAGAAGAATGAACGTGCATAAGATTGCTAGTGCTATAGGTATCTCGATTGAACGAGTACATAATCATTTGGGCAGGAACAAGTTATTCGCAAGATGGATGTCGCGATTGCTCACAGTTGACCAAAAACGAAATCGTATGAGATGTTCCAAGGACTATTTGCAGCTGTATCAGCGGAATCCACAGGACTTTAGGCATCGTTTCGTCACTGTGGACATGGAATACATGGAAACATGGATACATCACTACACGCCAGAGACAAAACAACAGTCTAAACAATGGGTTACCAGGAGAATCTGCACCAAAGAAAGTGAAGACCGTTCCTTCGGCCGGGAAGGTTATGGCGACCGTCTTTTGGGATTCGCAAAGAATAATCCTCGTCGACTATGTGGAAAAAAGTAAAACTATTACAAATACATATTATTCATCGTTATTGGACTGTTTAAAAATCGAGCTGCAAAAAAAAAACGTTCACGATTGGCCCACAAAAAAGTCCTTTTCCATCCCGACAATACACCAGCTCACTTCTCTGTAGTTAAGATTTAGCCGCAAAATTGATGAAATTAAGGTTCCAATTCGTTCCGCATCCCTCTTATTCTCCAGATTTGGCTTCCTCGGACTATTACTTGTTCCCCAATTTGAAGAAATGGCTAGCGGGAAGGAGATTTTATTCAAATCAGGAGGTGATTGCGGAAACGAATGTCTATTTTGCACAGTTGAACCAATCCTATTATTCAGAAGGGATTAACAAATTGGAGCAGCGTTGGACGAAGTGTATAAGCCTAAAAGGAGACTATATTGAAAAATAAAAAAGTTTTATCCCGAAATATTAAGTAGTTTTTACTTTTGCACGGATTTTTTAGACCACCCTCGTATATAGTATTTATAAATATTTTATTAAAAAAGTTAATTAGTAGGATTTTAAGAATAAAAACTTTCTCTTTTCCTTTATTTGTTACTTACATCAAATTTATCATTGATGTAATAGATATTTCATATTTTTGTTACTTATTTATATGATAAATGTTATTTTAATTTTCTGTAAAGTCCTTTCTTCCTTGTTACAGAATTATAAGAATTCTCGAGAGAGAATTACAGCATGTAGACACATAAATGGCAATGATGGATCCACGAGGGCCATGGCCCTTAGAGTTTTCTTTTTTAAAAATATAGCAAAAGGTTATATATACTTCTAATATTTCTAAAATACTTAATTACAATTTTGATATTCTAAAAATATTTTTTATTTTATGAATTTTCTAAGTATATAATAAATAAAAAATATAGATTCTTTTTTATATTCCAAAAAGTAAATAAATGAAATCTGATTACATTTATGTTATATACAGCTGTAGTTAAATACTACAGCTAATACTACAGCTTTTATTATCTGCCCGTTCACGATGGGTGAACAGAATTCGATATTGGTGCCACCATTGTGTAGGCAGTCACGTGGCACCAAAGACATAGGGCGCATTCAAGTCGACAAAGCGGCTGTCTGCTCACCAAGCAATTAAACATGATTGGTTGGATCCACAGGTAAGAACCAATTATGCTCATTCGCTCGACAAGCATGCCCAGCCGCTTTGCCGTCTTGAACTCGCCCATAGAGAATGGACTGCGCAATCCGTATCTAACTAGTATTTAAATACAGTCGACAATAATGAGAGAGAAGGACCATGAAAGATGGTCAATCTCTTTCTCATTCTCTCTTCCATTAAATCGTTAAATGAAAAGAGATAGAGATGACCGTCTTCCATGATCCCTCTCGCTTACTTTTATCGACCATTTTGACACACGGATTGCGCAATCCATTCTCTACGTCTTTGCGTAACATTAATCAAATCACGCTAAATTCTCGAATATTAGGTATAAAGAGTGTGACGCCAATTAACCGGAAATCGCCATTTTGTATCCTATATCTATCCTATATGGACGCAATTTTTCATCTTAATCTCTTCTTTCTGTAACGTTGTTTTCTTTCTAATCAACCTTCTATGGCGTGGCTAAGCATATGCATTAGCGCCACTCTCTTTATACTCACTTTATTCTACACTGAGAGAAAAATATATCGTATTTGTGACTATAATTGTATGGTAAAATAATTATAGTTAAGAGCATCATTTTTATAGTTATTATTACTATAATGTTAGTAACAATAACCTTATATTGTATATATAGTTCTATCAACCCGTAAAAAGATTGTACTATAATTTGTGATAATTTCAAATATTAATATAGTAAAATATGAAAATGCGTATGATAGATAAAATAATCATTTTTATGTGATAATTGCAATCATAATTATAATGAATATAACCATTTTTTCAACATTTGCTTACTATAGTAAGCATTCATTATTTGAAAGATATGTTAGCGTAGCTTCTACATATAAAAAGGCGGTTCACAATACTATATCGATAATGTCAAAAAATGTTCAAATTCTGTTCACTGCATTTGGTCGACAAAAAAATGAAAATAAGAAACTGAATTTTAGTAAAACAAAGATATATAGCTTACTTATGGGTATACATCTTATCACAATTTATATAATTATTTAATTATATATATTTACTTATGTAAAATTTATTTATATTCAAACAGGTAAATGAAGAATGCCGGTCGAAGCGGATTTTAGTGTTCAAATATTTTATTTATGTAAATTTAAATATTTTTTGATTCTGCATATCGCGCGCCAAAAATTTTTTGGTTCGAAAACGCATTATATGAGCAGAATAATAATATAGCTTTTATTATTTAAATAGTATAAGCAATATATAATAAGATTTGAGCACATTAAGATCCGCTTCAATCGAATAATGGCATTCTTCATTGAATGAAGAATGCCATATTTGATTGTGTTTTAAGTTTTAATCTTATCGATCTATTTCCACTGTTTATTTCTATTCTACAAATTAATATATTTTATGATATAAAAATTATTTTACAGAGATCTTTATAAACAAATTTGGTATTCAGGAGGAAAAAAATATTAATTTATTCATAAGAGCCGTTGGTTTTCTGGAGCAATTGATCGATGCGGAGATCGTAAAGAAAGATCTCTAAGAAAGATAATGCAAACAGGACAAATACAAATGATGTGTAAACATTTTTATACGTATAAAAAAAAGTATTTCAAAGGTTTAATGTATGGTTTAAGATGTTAATGGTTGGTTTATGTTTAATGGTGATAATGGTGATAGTTCTTCACAATATGTTTCAATAATAAATAAAATACATGTTTTAATGCACAATGCTTGTTTATTTATTATATTCTTCTAATATAGTTACGTATATTCGGAATTTATGTATTGCAGTATCAATAATTCTTATGATAAACTATAATTCTATTGATAAACAGTTATGAAATTAGTTTCAGATTTTTACTATGCAATATTAAGGCTTACTCTTGACAAATACGGTGTATAAAAATCATTTAGTATAATTTAGAAATATATGATAGCAACATAAAATACAGGCGATAGAAGTCAACGCTGGTTGGTTATCAATTAGCGCAATTCTTCTTAATATTAAAATATAAACCTTAAACGTTTCCATAGTTTGAGTCTTCATCAGCAATCTTTCCCTCTAACACAATTTAAATCATGCTTACACTGATTCTCAATAAACTGTAAGGTTTGTTCGTAATAGAATACATAATAGATATAAACTATAGTTTATTTGTCTTCAAATTGATCGCTACGTTACTTGTTTAGCAATCATTATAACCGACAATCGAAATGACAAGACACAAATTGTTCTCTCAATTAGTATTTTAAAATTTTGACAATAATTTTTAACTTATTAACGATGTACAAAATGTTGCATATGACATATTTATTGTTCAGTGTTGAGACGTTGACTGTGAGATGATTATTAGTTTTCAAATTTATACGATAATTTAATCATTTATATAATTTTAGCTTGAGTTCTCATTGTCACTCAGCTTTCTAACTTTGTGAATATGTGACTTACCTTACAACGGTTAACGGTTCAATTTTTTTAGAGGAAAAACGTTGGAGATATTTTGTAACGCAATACTCCAACCATTGTGTTAGGCGGAAATATTGCTAATGAAGACTCAAACCATGAGTGGAAACGTTTAAGGTTAAGGTTTATATATTTAATATTATCAATTACAGGAGTCTATAAAAAACTTAGTTTTTTGTTAGTTTGTAATTTCTCATATAGTATACTTATATAATGTATATTATAGTTTTTCAAATATATAATATTTAAGAATAGGTCTCCAGGTCTAAATAGTACCAAAAAAAAATTAGTACAAATATTAATATTAATTCTCAATACTGTAATAATAATAATACTGTACCAAAAATCTATACTATTTATACTATCTAAAATAGTATAGACAGTATAGATTTTTTTTGGTACAGTATTATTATTATTACATACACACACACAGTATTGAGAATTAATATTAATATTCGTACTGATTTTTGGTACTGTTTCGATACTGTCATCCTGTACTAATCCCATATTGCCATAATAGTACCAAGAAACAATATATCGATATTTGGTACAATGTATGTACTGATTTTTGATACTGTTATAATACTATCATCCGGTACTGTAATAGTACTGTATTACGAATCTTGGCCCGTTGCTATCATCCCAGCATTTCTCAGGTACCATATCAGTACTCGTATTCAGTATTGCGTTGGTATTAAATACTAAAAAATGGTATTGGACCGGTACGTCGCCAGTATTCAATTCCCACTTGGATATTTACATGTGGCAACAATTATATAACTAAAAAATATATTTAAAAAAATGGAAAAGCAGTGATTTTCAAATAATGTGTATGTAACTATATTAATAGCTCATTTGATAATTAATAGCCCACTATACTATAAATTTGATTGGTCAAATTTACTATACGTATTATCAAC